TTAGGATTGGTGGGTTGGTCTAAAAAATTACAAGAATTTGGAAGATTTAAATCCTCACTATACGGAAGACACAGGGATTATACAGAGGAGAATTATACATATCTTTCAATTATGATAAAGTATCAATATGTAGAAATGAAAGGGGAAATAAGGATAGCAAATCATGTTTAAATTTGTAAGTATTCCTTGCTACAAAGGAAAGAATATGAACAAAGAATGTAATAGGAAATGCAAGGTTATATTACTGACTCGTAATAAAGTTACTCTAAGCACATTGAAGTGCAATTCTTTTAACAATAGTTGAAGAAAAATAAGCAATAAAATGGGATACTAACCACGGAAAGCATATTAAATACATTTCAGAGGAGAATGTTACTGCTTCAATTCAAATCGATGCTAAAAAATTAATTTACATGGTAACTGAACTATTTGACAGAATATTAGTAGGCTCTACAATGTCTAATTTTCACTGCCAGATAAGCAACTGTTCAATAAATATGAATGTTCTTTTACCTTTCTTGAGTAAAAACAGGAACAGCTAAGCTCCTACTTAATGGCTAATCCATATCCACAGTTCTTCAGATGGCAATATTTGTACTTTAAGGGTTTAACTGTGTCAGTGTTTCAACCTTCTTTTTGAACTGAAGGTGTAATTTGCTTTACATGGGTGGCAACTGACACAGAAAAACAAAACAGTGGAGGCTTTCATGCTTTTTTACTATTTACTGTGAAGTGATTTACAACCAATATTTACAACAGGCATATACAACACAATCCTGGTGTTCACCTGGTGTCAGGTTTCCTCCTAAGTCTCCCTCCCAGAGACTATCCTCCTCTAGCTCTGTCTCCCTCCCCAATTTCTGGGCTTGACAAGAGAGAGAGTGAAAAGAAAGGAAGGGGCTGGATTTACTGTAGTGTGTTTAGCACGACATGACTTTCTCCTGGATCTGCTCAGCAAACACCTCTTGCCTATCTATTGGAGGAAGAACCTCTCTCAGGGTCTTCTGCCCAGTCCTTCCCCAGAGACCAGGGCTTCACCAATGACTGCCAGCCTTACCAGGTAGACCAGACAGGAAACACAACAAGATGAGCCAATTCTACTTTATCATAAGGCTACATTAACAGAACCTTGCAAGTCTGAAAGTATAAATCTCCCACTGACTCCTTACAGTCTGAGAAGTTAGGGAGGGTCCCTTCTGATCTTCTTTCTCCGCCCATTATGCAGCTGTGGGCTATGCCCTTTCTTATCTGACCATTCCCTAGGTAGCATCTCTTTGCCCCATCTCTCAAGGTCTTTCTCACATACCATTACAATGACTGACAAACCTCGTCTTCCCATCTTGGGTCTTGTGTGACGATGTTGTCTCTCTGGGTCTTTACTTCCGTTCTTCCAGGGAAGCCACTCATGGACTCTTCTCCTTTCCCAGCCAACAACCGACAACTGCTCTGCACACTTATGTAACTTCACTCTCCAACTTTTCTCTTCAACCACTCCATTTTGCACAGTCATTTTCTCTCCTCTCCTCCTCTCTCTCTCCAATCTTGGGTCAGACAGGCAGCATGTCCTGCAGCAACTGAGGAGGTAGGTGGTCCCCCTAGGCTCTAGTCCCCAACACCTATATATCAGGCTGGACCAATGGGACTGCTGTCTCTACATCTTCCCACAACAGCCCTAGTTAGCAACTAGGTCAGTTCATCAGCCCTGGTCACAGCACAGCTGCCCTTCAAGGCCAAAATTGGGTTTCTTCTCCCCCTTTCTCACTCCATTTGCTGACTTACACCAGCAGAACTGCAGCCATGCCAGGATACTAAAAACCATATGCCACAAACTGCCAACAACACTGTCTCTTTTGTTGGCACAATAATACAGTCCTACAAGTTTTATCCTGTTCCTCTTTCTGAAAACTTCACTTTTATCTCCACTACCAGATTTTAAAAAAATTTGTAATAGTGGGAAATTATTAGAAATGATTACATTTGTCACAAGTAATACCAAGAAGGGCTCAACTTATGCCAGGATTTAAAAATGTATTCTGAAACAGGACAGAACATAATAATGTAATGTAAACTGAATTTGGTTTCTACTTCATTTTAACAGTAAGCTACCAACGTAAGCTACTTATAGTTGTCATGATTTACTTGAAAATGGATGAGCAATTCCTACTGAAATATTAGGAGCCAGAAGGTTTAGGTGAAGATAACATTGCTACTTGCTCATTGTCATAACCAGAAAAACTAGAATTATGAAAGTAAAAGAACATTTAAAACAAAATTGTTTGACACAATTTATATAGGCAGGCTTGGGTCAATATATTTAGAATAATTATGCTGTGCTAAGTGAATGAGGTGACAAATGTGGCATTCAAATTTATTTTTGCTCATTGATGATTATCACAACTTTTTAATCTCAGCTAAAAATGCAAAATACTCATGCAACAAACTATGAGAAATAAGATACAAGTTCTACAAACTTTTGTTTGGTTGGTTTTTTACTCACTCTCTTCATCCACTACTGTTTTCCCTATTTCTGTTCAGATTCTTCTCTTCTGGGTGCCACTCAGAGTATGTGTACATAAATCCCTTCTCCAAACAAGGAAGTCACAAGGAACGATCATACATAACTGGAACTTTAGCATCACACTGCAAATATTTTGGAGGACAGGTTTTTTGGGGGGGGGGGTTGAGGGAGGAATCTCCCAGAATGCCTGAATAGTAGTAAAAATGTCAAATGAAAATGAATAACTCAGACTACCTAAGTGAACTACATAAAGAAAAAAAAAAGTTAACTGATACCAAAGGGGACATTCCAAAGAGATTTGTTCATTATCAAACTTAAAAAAACTGAAGATGAAATGAATGATAAAGGTAGGTTAGTTCTAGAATATTCTAAATGGAAACTCTTCCCAAGCACAGATGCCCTTTATGCAACATGCAGAGACCACAAGGAAAAATTAAGCAGAAGCTTTGTATAGCTCTCATTTTTTCTACAGGCTTCCTTTTCAGATTCTCAGAGTAAACAACAAAACACTTTTGTAAGGTACTTTGAATTCTAATTAAAAATAATTCTGTTTTGAAGAAAACTCATTGTTAACAAAGGCTCTGTAGGTCTTATAAGGTTAATCTTTATAATTTTATTTAAGTACAATCAGAGGACCACAGCTTCAAAATCTAAAGATGTGGTTGAAAGTTAAGCAGTATGTTATAATTAAGATACATCAAGTATTATCACGACATCACCTATTCAAACAGAACCATTATTGAATTTATTCTTTAAGCAGATTTGCACTTATGGAATATCACTGCAATGATATATGAATTATAAGTATTGTATTTTTCTAAGTTCATTATTAAGAGCAAAATGCTATCTACTCTGATACCATAACAAGATCAGATTGTTTTTCTTGAGTATTTTGAAGGAAGAAACAATGGAATATTTGAGGGTAGTTACCTGCCATGCCATTATATCCAAAATTCTAGTAAAAAATAAATACTTTTTAGGCCACTAACTGCTCTAAGATTTTGAATAGCAAAAAAAGAGACCGTATTCCCAAAAACAGAGTAATAGTTTTAATTATTTAATAATTTTATATTAAACAAGCATTATTTTAATAACCTATATTTCAATGTTTTAAAATACAAGTTGTATAGAGATTTATTTTCTATTTACAATTATAAAGGGCTTGCACCCAATCCATTCTCTCTGGTAGAAACCAATATATAATCAGGCAAAATACTGCATCCATCTACATTGCTCCTTGTTGCGGGAACTTGCTACCTACCACAAAAAATTAGCTGTATCAGATTTTATCTTCTACTGAGAAGAAGCAAGAAGAGAGGAAGGTATGAGCAAGAAAATTAGACCCTTGCAAACTAGATACAGAAAGTAGCATCTAATCTGTCCAGAAGTCTATTTTATAAATCATATTTTCCCCTTCCATTATAATTATTGTTAATTTTCCCTCCCTTTTCTCCGGGGTATTGTATTGTAAGTCTGGAAAATATTTGTTTCTTTTTATTATAACTGAATGACAAAATGCAATCTGACACTTAAAATAAACTATTTATTGTATTATTTAGGTTTACTTACTAAATAATATTAATTACCCTGTGCCAAAACAGGAAGTAATAAATCAAGAAAAAAATATAGATACCAAAAAGTGACATTTTTTTTAAGTCATTTGCAAAATCAGTAACTAGTAGTATATTGCTACATAGCCTTAATTTTTTCAGGGTATAAAAATGTTTGACATCCAGCCCCAAATAGTATATAATGGAAGAACCCATGTTCCAAGTATGTAATTTATAAGTCTCATCACTCAGCAAAAGTTGCTAGTGCTCAACAAATGACACTTCATGAAAAACAGGTAGAGAAAAAAAGTCAGAAATAGTCAGAAAAGAGAAACTAATTTTCAGTGACAGTATAGTCTTTCATCTTAAGCCATGTCTTGAACTCTACCTTGTTTAATTATTAAAATCAGGAGCTGCTGTGCAAGATCTGTCTGCTTTTGATGGTTCTTTAATTCAATCCTGCTGACAGACTGTATCCATATCTTGCCATATATATTGTTATGTATAAGGAGCTTTGAGTACTAATTTTTTTCCAACACAACCTTCATTAACAAGAAATATTTGAATAAGCCTTAAGGGCAACACCAAACTATTTTTCTATAAATGTGTAACAGTGATAAAGACGATTAAATGGACTTGATCTGGAACACACAAACATTTCCTTTATGAAATCCACATACACACTTCACCATATGCTGCATCCAAAGGATAACACTGATACATAAAGCCTCAAACCCAGCTGTCTGGGTGAAGAGATAGACTTCTGCATTCAAGTTAGTACACTAACTTCAATGTCATTTGATAAAGGAACTGATGAAAAGACCATGCATATGGATGAGGAATTATTTTAGAATACTGGCAGTCCCCTTTTAAGAAGGCTGCCATTTGGAGTGCGAAATAAATAGTATCTGTGGTCATTACATAACACTTACAGTTGCTTTGGTTTGTGCCAAATATTCTGCTTCCATTTTACTTAAACGTGCATTTGTATCCTCCAACAATTCTTGGATATTTTCTGTGTGTTTTTTCTGGAGCTCAAACTTGTCTTTTTCCATCTCAGCTACAGCATTATGGAGCTGCAAACACAAATACAGTCCTCAAACACAGAAAAATTAAGAGACCATTCAGCACTATTAAAGCTTTTGATAGTTCTTTGATTTATATCCTACCTTTTCACTCAGGAGCTCAAGATGGCATACATTATTCAAATTAAAAACATGTATTTCCATAAAAAAATATACTTCTATAAACATATTGTATCTGTGACATTTCCTAAATTATTAAGCTATTTGTATCACTTAAGAGACATTTATCTACATTCATAACTACAAGGCTTAAATGAAGGAGGCCAGTTATACATAATCTATATTAAGAATGTCTTCTTCTGCCATTATTTTGGTCACCTTAAACATAGCCAGGCAACCAGTCCATTTGCAAAGGAAGATTTTGACAATATTTTGCCATAAAGGGCATCAATCTTCCTCCTTGATTAAAAAATCAGGCTAATGCCATGTCAAAGATTTTGATTACCCATATTGCTAATCTTTATTTTGGGACTGATAGAATTAATAAATCACAGGACACTCCTATGCTATGCAAACAGCTTAGATATTTTAACACCAGAATCCTGCTGAAAATCCACTGTGGTTTCTTCCTGACTGGAACCAAAAACAGAATTAAGTAATAGATGTATTTCTTGCAGGAGGAAAGGCATATGCTGGCTGGAGAATTCTGGGAGTTGAAGTCCACACATCTTAAAGTTGCCAAGGTTGAGAAACCCTGTTCTATGGTGACAAAAAGTCAGGTGGAGTCTGGTGGCACCTTTTCCAACTAACAATTTTTATTAAAAGACATAAGCTTTTGTGAACTGCAGCTCATTTCATCAGAAGTATAGAGTGGCTATATGCAGAGACCGGCTGCAGCAAATAGGCAACCTCCCATCACTCAGGCGGCACATGGCAGACCTCCCTGCTTCCAACAGCGTAGCTGTATGTAGGCTGGCACATATCCCTGATGCCTCAACAAACAGGCAAATCTATAATAACTTCAGATGCAAACATGTACACCTAAAATGACCCACAACCCTTTCCTTTTGACTAGAGAGAACAAAACTTCTGATATTTTTGAAATCCTGGAATACAGTCCTGGGGGTGGGGATAAAGACTGCCCAAGGAAAATGAGGATAACATTTCCCCTTCCTCTTTTTTTTCTTAAAAATTTTTTTTGTTTTGAAACAAATGAGAAGGAGGCAGCTGGGAGATGTGAAAGGAAATAGATCACCTGGGAGAGGGACAAAGGGGACAAAATGCCTGGAAGAGAAAAAAAGAGACATTGCTTAAAGATGCAAGCAAGATGGAGACTGGAAACAGCCACTTGATTTCACTGAGCTAGTTTCGAGGAGCAACAAAGAGGAAAACAACATTTGAGCAGAAGGAAACCATGGTAAGTGTGAAGCTAGCCTTCTCTGGGACTGACATGAGTAAGGGCATTGAAAATCCTCAGGGATCAGAAAATAGGGCCTGCTCAAGCAGGGAGGGGGAAAGATTCCAAGTGAATAGATGAACTGGCTGGGGCTTATAATGAGACCAGAGCTAATTATCTTTGGGCTGAAAATGAGACCAGGAGCTTAACTATAATCCAGAAATCTCTAGGGCAATGTTTCTCAACTTTGGCAACTTTAAGATGTATGGACTTCACCTTCCAGAACTCCTCAGCCAGCTTGCCGGCTAGGGAATTCTGGGAGTTGAAGTCCACACATCTTAAAGTTGCCAAGGCTGAGAAACACTGCTCTAGTGAGACCACAGGAGCTAAGAAGAAGTGTGCCTAAAACATTGCTTGAGGTTTATCATCTATGAAAGTCAAGGATTAATCAGGATCAGGTACCTGGAGAAGTGAGCTGGGGGAGATCCCTTTTCTCTGAGATAAAGTAAAAGTTATAGGGAAGAAACTGCAATCAGACTCTTTTGTTTTAAGATACACTAGTTTTCTCAATGGACCCTGATAGTCTGAATAGGACTGCTAACTGTTTCAAGGAATCTGCTGCTGATTGTTCCACCTAAACTATTTTCGCCTCAGATCCTGCCCATCTGGACCTCTGTCCTGTCTCCTCATAGCATTTTATGGAAAATTGATGTTTAAAGGGCTATTTGTGACTATCAGCACAAAATGCCTTATTTTATCCAGCTGTAACTCTGGGCATTTCATTATGTAAAGCTAAAATAAAGTTTTCCTGATCCTTTTCTTTTTTCATATATTTAATAAATTAATATTTAAATCATATGATTGATGTTTTTGTTTCAACTTTTCAAAAGCAAGTAATGCTGCTGTTCTCTGGTCGTAAGGGCAAGGAGCTGAGGCTACAGAGTTTATCCTCTATTATTACTATCTTTATCATTTTATTACTATTCCTAGTTTATGGGAATAATAAGACTGTAAGAGGCCAATCTCTTTCACAAGCTAGTGTGAAGGGTTGGGAACAAAGGAAAGACATTACCTTGCTCCAGGAAGATGGGTGGTAGCCGCAGGAAATTCTACATACCCAATAACCAAGGTCCACCAAGGTGGGGAGGTGATATAGGGCTGAAGGGAAGAGCTATTTTTTACCACTGAAAATACTCCCAAAAAACACCCCTGCAAGCATCACACAGTGTTATGTATTAAAGCAGTGCACAAGACAAACCTAAACTAGTGCACATGTAATTGTAATATTTTATAACAGCATTCTCATTGTCCTCATGAGAAATTTACATACAGGCCAGGAAGCCACAGTACAGACAGAACATGTTGAAATGCACTGGCTCCAGGTTGGCAAAGGAGTGGGTAAAGGCTACTCTCCCCTTATTTATTCAACCTTTATGCTGAATATATATTAAGAGAAGCTGGATTGGAAGAAGATGAGTGTAGTTTTAAAACTGAAGGAAGAAATATCAATAACCTGTGCTATGCTGATGACACCATCCTGATAACCAAAAATGCAAAGGATCTACAAGTCCTAATACTAAAAGTCAAAGAGTTCCATGAAAAAATGGGACTAAAATTGGACTTCCAGTGGGGGACTAATGGCTGCTTAACCTATTCCTTTGTCTGGGAATCAACGCCACAGTTGTGGGGGCTAGGGCAGGAACCCTGTAGCCTGAAGAATTCTCTGGATGTAAAGGAGAATCCGTGAAATCAACCCAGATGCTCTCCAGACAGCTGTTTCTTGCGAGGAGACTCCAAAGCAGAAGTCTTTGTGATCAACTTGTGGTGAGCAGCTGAGAGACAGGGCTTTTCCATCATGTTCAAGGCTACGGCGTAGCCAAAATTTAGGACACTAAAGCTGACCTCCCCATCTCTAAACACATTTTAAATGGTCTATTGCTCTTTCAAATGAAGAGAGGCTTTTTTCAGCAACAGATAAGCGTATCTTCTTGGTGCTTTTCATATTTTCAACGCTCACTTAAAAAAAAAAACTGATTTGGACTTTGGGATTTATATATTAAGCAAAGATTCGAAGGACTGAATTATTGGGTGTTTTTATGAAACAAGTGAATTCGTTTTTTGGACTTTAAAAAGTTAATTTTGTTGAATCTGTACTTGTGAGATTGAAGCTTGAGATTGCTGGTTAAAGATTTCTGTGGGAAAGCTGCTTTTTTTTTCACTTTGCTGCAATACTGATTGGAGGAGTTCTGTAAACAAAAGTACTCCGAGACCTTGCTTTTTACCCATCCCCCCCCTTGCAAGGTTTGTTATGGCTGCAGTTCATAACAAGCAACAGCAAAGGGAATTTAAAGAGACACTTATACTACTACTGTAATATCTCACTACTAGAATTTTACAAGTGATAGAAACTAAATTTGAAGCCTTTGAGAAAAAATAGACAGATTTAATAGTGATATTGATTTGCAAACAAAATTGGATATTGAAAATAAGAATACTGATGATGTTACATGGTGTGAAGTAAGGCAATCTTACTTCAGAACAGGAAACTGGAATAAGAGATCTGGATTTGGATGGAGGGCTGGTTGATTTAGTTTATTTTGAGCCTGGAGATAATGAGTTTTTTATAAAGCCCAAATTTACAACAAAAATCATTTTTGACAATAACCAGACCATAAAGCAGAAGAGTATTTTGAAGATTTTTCCCTTTTTGGATGCACAGGAAGGACTTATTAAACCTTTGAAGATGTCTTTGATGATAAAAAAAAGAACAAAGTGGCAAGAAATTACTACTTGAAATGTCACTTGAAGAAAAGATTAAATGTCAAGCTTCCTGAAAAGAAGAAAAAGGAATTTAAAGTGGACTTATGGGACCAAGGTTAAAATGTACAAGTTATGATTTTGGATTGCTAATACTGGAATTTATTCTTAGATTGGGATTGTATGATAATGTTTATGAATTTTATTGTTGTAGAAAAGAAATAGACTTAGGTGTTTAATAACAATAGATCAGCTGATACTTCAAATGTTAGTAAGGTCCTTGAGATAATATGTCTGTATAAAATTCTTTAACTTAGTTTCTATTTAGAAATTACTTTTGGGATTTTTGCTTGTAACTGAAAGAAATGAAATTTTGAGAAATTACTTTTGGGATTTTTGCTTGTAACTGAAAGAAATGAAATTTTGAGAAATTACTTTTGGGATTTTTGCTTGTAACTGAAAGAAATGAAATTTTGACTTTGAGATTTCGTATTTAGAATTGTTTTTGTTATAGAAATATTGTATTTTATTGATATTATTAGAGTAAGAAGCTAATGTATTATTTTACTTATAACTGTACTGAAGAAAGTCAAAAGTTGTTCTTCTTTTCTGTTTTTCTTTCCCCCCCTGGTTTGTTTCTCTGTCTCCTTCACATTTCTTTATCTATTTCTTTCTTTTCTGCTTTTCTTTTGATGTCTTTGTGTATTTTATTCTTGTTTGAAACTTAATAATTTTTTTATTTAAAAAATGGTACTAAATTTAAACATAAAGGTCAAACTAATGACAACAGGTAGAACCACCAGCCTTAGAATTAACAATGAAGCTATCAAAGTGGTGGATAGCTTCTGCCTTTTAGGATCAACCATCAACAGTAAAGGAACAACCAGTCAAGACATACAGTGCAGACTACCACTCAATAGAGCAGCCATGAAGGCCTTGGAAAAGATATTCAGATGCTATGATCAGAATCGTGCAAGCAGTGGTATTCCCTGTGACACTCTACGGAAGCGAAAGTTAGACTTTAAAGAAGCAGGATAGAAAGAGTATTGATGCCTTTGAACTTTGGTGTTGGAGAAGGCTCCTGAGAATACTGTGGACAGCCAAGAAAACAAACTGATAAATCACTGAAGAAATCAACCCAAAGTTCTTACTCAAGGCACAAATGACCAGGCTCAAATTATCCTATTTCGGACACATTATGCAAAGACCCAGCTCTCTGGAAAAGGTTCTAATGCTGGGAAATTTGGAAGGAAAGAGGAGAAGAGGACAACCAGCAGCAAGATAAATGGACTCCGTTATATGACAATGGGTGTACCATTGGAAAAGTTGAAAGAACAGATTAGGGATAGATCATCATGGAGAAAATCTATGTGGTCGCTAGGAGTCAAAAACAACTTGATGGCAATCAATCAATCAATAACAGCATTTCCCTGTTGGACAACAATTTTCATCATTTTGAGGAATAATAATTTCTAAAGACTTGGGAATTTGGATTTGTTGAGTTTTCATAGGTGGTTTTCATAGCTATTAGTACTCCAGTGTTAAATCATAGTTGAATTAATCCTCCCTCTGATTTCATGGCAACATTTCCAGAATTGCTCATTCTAGCATATTTTTATGTGCATTATGGTTTGTTATCAAAACCACTGTTCATACTCAGATTTCACTTAATCAGAATTATAAGATCCATGTAAATGGAAGCAGTTTGTGGAAATTTTATAGAAAATAAATTTTAATGTTTTATTAATTGATCAGTAACTGATTTAAATTTGATGTTCCCAATTAATCATGCAAGAGCTTTTGTGATTTTTTTCATTTTCATTATACTAATAAAAAAAATAATTACCTTTTTCTCCCATTCATTGTTCAGGGAATCTGTACTTTGCTCACATAACTTTTTTAGTTCCACAATTTGTTTTTCCTTAGCTTCTCTAATGACTTGTGACTCACGAACAAGTGTCTGAACTGTCAGAAAATAAAAACAACAAAATAAAATACATGAGATGATATTCAGACTATTCTCTCTGGCAAGAGAGTTGTGTCTTATAGCTGTTTTCAATAATTTTCAAGCATTGTTCTTCTTTAACATATGGAAATTGTTTCAGTTGTATTTTTAAGTAAATAACTGATAAAATATATACAAAATAACCATAAACAAATCCATCATGATGTTTAGAGTAAGTAATATTCTGATGGAATTTGATTTTAAAAATTAACTGTTGCTTCTATTGTTTCTTAGAGAATTTTAAATATATTTTAAAAAATTAAACATTATCCCATTGGCCAGTATTTTGACAGGCTAGATGACAGCAACTACCAGTCCACAGATTATATCCACATCTATAATTGCAGCTCTGAGAATAGAATAGAATTGAATTGAATTGAATTTTTATTATGGTCACTGACCAGAATTGCAAACAAAAACACATTAAAAATAAAAATAGAGTAAAAACAAAACAAGATAAAATATTACAATTGGTGGTGAGTTCATTGGCGGACCATCAAAGTCTGCTTTAGCTACATTCAGGAAGACTGAATCAGCTCTGAGATAAAAGGTGAAGCAATGTAGTTTTGCTGTAGGTTCCCACTGACCCCTATAGTGGAACACTAGAAATAACAACTTGGAACAGCTCTTCCAAGCTAGGAACATCTGAAGCTGAGAACTTTATGCACATCCTACTGCCCAGATAAATAATTTCTATTTCAATATCAAGCAAGCAAAAATTCAAACAAACTACATAGAACTATAATAGCAAAATGACAACACAATCTTTTGGGAATTGGGAACGTCAATGCAATTCAAGCCATGCTCAGCCTGAACAAGGTGTAAGGAAAAAAACACAGCATTCATCCCGCCATCTCAAATTTTGGATGACACAAGAAGAGCCACACTGGATAAAACTAATGTCATGTTAAGTCCAGAATTCTGTTCCCACAGTGAAAATACCTCCAACAAGCATCCATAAATCTAACAGCACCACCCCTTTTGTGCTTCTCAGTAACTGGTACCAAAAGTAATATTTTTTTCAATACTGAAGGTAACGTATAGCTGTCAAGATTAATAATCTTACCCCTCATGAATTTTTCAACTCTCCTTTCAAAGTTCTCCAGGTTAGTTGCCTTTATTATGGCTTATGGTAGCAAATTCATAAGGTAACTACATTGCATTAAAAAGCATATCAATTACTAAAATTTTAATAGATCATGTTTATTTACATCCAAGTGTGAGAACTATCATGAGCCTCTGATGAGGGACTTTTTGTCTAACTTGATATTACCAATAGCTCTATTCTAGTTAATCCAAATGTAATTACCAAGATCTAGTTATCTACTTAATTTCGTTGTACGAGGTACAATGACAAAGTTTACAATTACAATTACTTTCAATTTGTCAAATGGCTTAGGAAAGAGGTAGAGAATAATGTATTGTCCTAAGCTGCCTTCTGAGATCTAGATGTTATCACTGGATCTCTACCAAAACACACCCTGCCCTAGAACCTCATCTACCAACATCACATAACACCCAAGAGCTGCCATTTTAGGATACCATGGGTGTCTGTTAGGAAAAGCAAGGGTAGCATGATTTTAAGGCACCAGTAAAATTTAAAACAATTTTTCCCAACCAGGAGCCCCCCAGATGTATAGAGTAGACTTCAAACTCTGAATTCTCAGGAATGGTCATACTGGCTGAGAATTCAGAGAATCAAAGCCCACACATCAGGAGAAAGCTTAGGTTGATGAAAGCTGTCTTAAAGGCATTCTTTTCTAGCATGCCCTTTCTTCCTCTTCAGTTAGAAACACAGAAGCCAAATTCCTCAAAACCTTGCAAACCTTTGTTTCAGAGGTTTCTCATCCCTGATGAAGAATGCGTTCTCTTTGCATTCTGCTTGTTAAGAGAAAATTAGGAGAACTATAAACAAACAGGCAAGAAACAAAGATAAATCATGCAGTTTTCAGGATTCATCAAATATTGGAAAATTGAGCACCTTTTTTTTCAAGCTTTTGAATAGTCTCTTCAGCTTCACTCTGTTTCGTTCTATACAAGGCCTTCATTACCTCAATTTCATCATTTTTTCTATCCAAAATCTATAACAAAAATATAAATAGAACAAAATTGAGGAATGTCCATTTTCCATGAGGTAATTTTTTAAAGAGTTATTTAGTTTTAGAATAAATGTCCCTAACCAAAGAATAACTGAAAAACAAGCACAATGTTATACAGAAAACTTGTGGAGATTTTTTTTCCTCAAGGCATCCACATCCTTTCACAATCTTATAAAGAGTGTTGAAGATTAGTAAATTCTGAATGCCAGCTCTAAAATGCAAGTTAAAGTATTATTGCTTTAAATGTTCTGTTTAAATCATTTGGGATTCCCAACAAGAAAAAAATCTTCAAAGCAAAGGAAACATTCAATATAACATGTTCTCTTTATAGAACTGGTGTTCAATTTGCAAACAAATAAGCCAAAAAAAAAAAAAA